GGTACCTGTTACAGTCTGACTGTATGCCTGTTTGGCCCTACCCTGGGTGTTGAGGGTTGGCCAGATGCCCAAGTCACTCCCAGATGCACCATTGTCTTCATACTGTGATGATCTGTTTGTGCCTACGCACCGTTTACCTTGTTCCCTAAAAAGCCCTTACAACATCCAGCTTGCTAGACATCAATGTACCACCAAGCGGTGCAGAACCAGCCAATCTATCTGCATATTTATTTCCCATCACACTGGCATTACCTGGAGATAATATCCAAAGAATGCTAACTAAGGGGGACCTCTGAAGTGATACTTGCCACTCTGCATGAAGCATACCTGTCTCCACCTTTCTCAACATGCTCTGTGGATCAGTTGCAGTTATGACATATGTGTACAGCTAATTCTCAAAGCAGCAGAAGGCTAAAGTTACCGTCTCCACCTCCATTCTTAAACCACATGTCGTACAGATAGGTGGATATATACAGAGATATGTCAAACATATATAATATAATCAGATACTCATATATAGAGGTGGTGTGATAGGAAATCACGAAATATTATTTCTGGAATACATCGTGCACCCTTCACAATGTGGAATGTTGATCGAATCGACTAGAAAGCGTAACATTTGTCAAACATAAGATATCAAAAATATAGTAAACAATGAAATCCCATGGTAAAAATAACTGTAAATACATTCATCATTTGTTTTGTTTGGTTGATAGTATACTCAACATTGTTCTGTATCTTTTTACATCAAAAGCTCAGATTTTTGGTGTCTTCGGTGACTGGCTAAGAGTCCATGACGCACATCTATAAGCTGCCATGGGAAAGATGCAAGATTTCAAAGTTTTCCATTTAACCCACTTGCAGGTGCTGTGCCATAGGTTCATCATGCTGTTTAGTCTCTGCATTGCTAAAGCTAGTCTTTTTCTGACTTCTTCTGTTCAGTCGCCATTGTTGTTCACTAATTAGCCTAAATATTCAAAATCTGTGACATTTTTTACTTTTGTCATCATATTCAAAATCTGTGACATTTTTTACTTTTGTCGCTGTATTCACTGTGGACAATATTTTTTATAGCAAAATTATTAGCACTGATCTTATACTAGGTCACAGTACGTGCTGTGGTATCATGTTCCATTTCTCACTCAAACAACAAACTTGTTAGGCAGATATGGTAGCATATTTGTCAGACAATTGGGTCCTTTTTTTATTTCACCCAATGTAAGGGACTTCGAGATTTCCAAGGGATTTCCGAGGAAGGTCCCATATTCTAGGAGTGTTATGATATGACTTTGTGCAAACAAATTGTGTGCACCGGGTCAACAAACGGTAGACAGTCTTCCACATGAAAGTCCACAATTTTCTATTGTGTGAACGACTGTCCAACTTTTTTCTGTGTGAATGTGTTGGCTGTTTCAGCATGTTCAGTGTGTGTTACTTTCGTTTGTTCATGTGAAATAAACACTGATGAACACTAACCTTAACACACCTATACAGCACAGTAATACACACAGCTTCCACAGTAATACACTCAGCTCCAACAGTAATATACACAGCTCCCACAGTAATATACACAGCTCCCACAGTAATATACACAGCTCCCAAAGTAATATAGACAGCTCTCACAGTAATATACACAGCTCCGATAGAAGAATACACAGCTAACAGAGCAGTACACACAGCTCCTCGTAATAATATACATAGCTCCCACAGTAATATACACAGCTCCCATTGTAATATATACAGCTCCCATAGTAAAACACACAGCTTTCACAGTAACATACACAACTAACACAGTATTATACACAGTCTCTAAAGCAAAACACACAGTTCCAACAGTAATACACATAGCTCTCAAAGTAATATACACAGGCCCTACAGAAAACACACAGCTCTCACAGTAGTACACACAGCTCCCACAGTAGTATATACAGCTCCCACAGTAGTATAGACAGCTCCCACAGTAGTATATACAGCTCCCACAGTAGTATAGACAGCTCCCACAGTAGTATAGACAGCTCCCACAGTAGTATAGACAGCTCCCACAGTAGTATAGACAGCTCCCACAGTAGTATAGACAGCTCCCACAGTAGTATAGACAGCTCCCACAGTAGTATACACAGCTCCCATAGCAGTATACACAATTAACACAGCAGAACACACAGCTCCCACAGTAGTATACATAGCTCCCATTGTAATATATACAGCTCCCACAGTAATGTACAAAGCTTTTACAGTAACATACACAACTAACACAATAGTATACACAGTCCCTACAGCAATACACACAGCTCCCACAGTAATACACATAGCTCCGAAAGTAATATACACAGGCCTTACAGTAAAACACACAGCTCCCATAGCAGTATACACAATTAACACAGCAATACACACAGCTCCCACAGTAGCATACACAGCACCGACAGTAGTATACTCAACTAACACAGTAGTCCACACAGCTCCCACATTAGTATACAAAACCAACAAAATAAACAGTTTCCACAGTAGTATACACAACTTAACAAAGTAACAGACACAGCTTCCATGGTAATAAACACAGTCCCTACAGTAATACATACGGCTCCACCTAAGTTGTCATTATCTCAAATATTACTTACCATATTATACACAGTATCATTTTTTTCATACACACTAACTAGCACATTGATATATGCACAGCTTCCACATTAATATATGCTGTTTCCACATTGATTCACATAATCCCATCAGATTAAATCGCTAACCACCCATATTAGGCACAAACTCATTTCACTTGAATTAAATGCAGTTTTTACATACATACTACGAGGGCTTTTATTTTTTTTGGCAGTATGCAACAGTACGCAGTACCAGCACCTTTTTATTGGCATAATTTTTTCCACGGATAAAAGACACTTTGTTATGAGTACCGCAACCCATATTTTAGACACTTTTTTGTGTGAGTACCGGCACCTTCATTTCCTAGAGTAAAAGTCCTCACCACCAAATCTACATTAATGTACGAGGAAAGGTCAAAATGTATGTCCTCGTGACTTTTAACTCCTTTCAATAGTGAAGAAAACAGATAACATTCACACTGAAATACAGCCCCAGCACCAAGTCTGATCTTCAAAAATGTATTTCTCAGTGTAGTTTTTTGTTGTTGGTGTTTATCTTTTTACAAGGGTGAGTATCCCCAAATGTATGCCCTTTTTTTCCAAAACTACTGACTGGCGCATGGAGCATTTACCAAGGAGTGCAAAATACGTTCATTTTTTATTCATTATACAATTTGTTACTTTGCCTATCACATTCTTCTGTTATGTTTGCAGTTTACATTTCAGTTGTTACAATAACACCTCTGTCCCGAAGCTATTCGTTACTTCTCTATAAAGCTAACTACTGTTGCTCAAGGATACACAAAACTTTAGCATAGACACTGGATTTCAAAACTCCCTCCTGAGACTAAAAGAATTAAGGGTCTGTGTTCTCAAAGTGATGTCCGCAAAAATATTCTTTCACCGGTACAAACAAATGGAAGTACTGGGGATGTGGTAATAATGTCCAGCCACATTCTGCAATCATATCAATGGTGCGTTTAGCCGTGTGTGTCCTGGCACTATCATGCAACAGTAGTACAGTTTTCCAATCTTTTAATGGGTAAGGTTGCTGAAGGTGACCTTTAAGCTTCTTCAAAGTTTCAGTGTAAAGGTCGGCATTCCCCATGTTTCCCTGTTCCAAAAAGTCCAAAAGAATCAAATTCTTCAGCACTGAGAAATTCTATGACATTACGTAGTTTTAACTAAACGTCTTTTCAAGCAATTTTAAACCTTTACAGTGGTGCCACCTGTTACTGAAACTGGTTGGCAGTGCTAAACAGTGCAGAAGAGTGTTTGAGGACTCCCAAAATTTTCAAACTGCACACTGATACAGTATTTACATAGGTAAAAACAGAAAGCATTGCTTTCTGACCTTCCCTCGTATGCATTATTTCCACATTATTAAAAGTACTTATTCCATAATAATATGGACAGTAAGGCATGTAGTTTCCCCATTATTAAAAGTACTCATTCCATTATAATATGGACAATAATGCATGTAGTTTCCCCATTATTAAAAGTACTTATTCCCATTATAATATGGACAGTAATGCATGTAGTTTCCCCATTATTAAAAGTACTTATTCCATAATAATATGGACAGTAATGCATGCAGTCTCGGCATTATTATACACACTATCTATGTAGTCTTCACATAAATATTCACATTATCTTCAAATTAATTTAAAATTACTTCCACAATAATATCACACAGCCTTCCCATTAATGAATGCACACATTCCCCACACACACAAAACATGCTTCAATATATGCAGTCTCTGCACTCATATTTGAGGAATGATCAAATGTGAAACCTATCCTAGGGCTTTATTACAAGCAAATAACAGTTATTTTAAAAGGTGTAAGTAAAGTAAAGTAAAGATCCCTTTTCACGCCTTTCGGCGCATCGGGCATATGGGCAGAGCGCTCCATATTTTTACAGACCATCAGCACTCTGTGGGTAATGTGGTCAGCATTACGCCAGCTGTCTTTACTTTCCCAGCAGAATTAAACACCCACTACTCCCACTATTTTGTATGCAATTAAATATTGCCCTAGACCTTAAGCTGAATTATTATTTTTGTGTGTGACCTGTGTAAAATGGGGTTCCTCCCTAATGAAAACTTTTTCTGGAAGAGCCAAAATTTTAAAAATATGGGTCTTTGGCATTGTTTTTTTTTCCCCTAGGTCACTGGGTGAAAGGGCTATGACTGGTTTCATTTGATCATGCCTCATATTACTATTTATCTGCATCATGTTAACATGCATGTCTCTGCCATCTCATTAAAAGCTGATGCCCTGTCCAAGAGAAGCCCAAACTGGCACAAAGGAGTAACCATGCTTCAAACCAGCTTATTCAAAGCTGATGCCCTGTCCAAGAGAAGCCCAAACTGGCACAAATGAGTAACCATGCCTCAAGCCAGCTTATTCAAAGTTGATCCCATCACCAAAATAAGCAAAGATTAGCATGACGCCATAGCCTGTCAGCAGACCAAGATTCTGCAAGAGGAAGGTCTTCTTCTGACCAAAAGCTTTGCCCTCGTCCGACTCAGCAGCCGTGTTCATTTCTGGCATCTGCAGCAGAAACAACGTAGCGTTTCAATAACAATACATCAGACATAGCAGAAGTTACTATGTTCATTTTCCTACCAATTGTTGTGCTACCACTGCCAGGCATGGACAGATCTAGAAAAACATAAATGAAGACTTACAACACATGAAGTTAGATGTATAAGAAATGCAGCTGGAAAACCAAGAGGAGACATAGTCACCAAAGAAGAACTAAGAACAAAGGTAGGCAAAGTACTGGTAAATGATTTTACAGAACATCAAAGAATCAAATGGTTTGGTCACATACTCAAAAAGGAACAAAATCAGCCAGCAGTTAGAGCCCACTGAGGTCTAGCTAGTGGCCCTTGAATCAGTGTCATTTGCATTATGTTAATATAATTATATCTTTCTGGCCTGTGACGATCCGTTTCCACAATTTTGGTTCACGAGTAAACTTAGTTAAATAGCCTTGAGCTAAAGCGTACTACATAAGAAAAGCAAATGGCAGAAAAAGATGCCAACCCAGAAAGAGACGGGTGGAGGGGGTGAAAGAGGTACTATAGAAACACAATATGACATTAACACAAACAACATATTTAGCAGAAGACAGGAACTACATCTCTCTCTGTGACACTTAAAGTCATAAACAATAGGAGATATGAAAGAGAAAACATAGTATAAATAGTCTACTTTGCTTAAATCAAAATAATATTGTCAAGACAGCTGTAAAAAGTGGACCTTAACATCTGAACTAGATAGAAAAATACAGGCACTGGAAATGAGATCTTTTCTAAAGATCCTAGGTACACTATAGAAAGACCTAATCACAAAGGATGAAGATAGTCGTAACATCTTTCAAAATACTGGTAGCTAATAATCAAAGAATTCTCGTTTGCTATACAGCGCCATCTTCAACATACAGTTGTGAATCCTAGACAATTAAAAAACAAGCCAAACAATTTCTCCTGGTGTCTTCTTAGAATTCCTAGGACAGCAACAACAAAAAAAAAAAAGCATGTTTTGAAAGAGGCGAGGGCTTGAGGACAACTTATCACAAACATCAGAAAGAGACAGTCATTGTTGTCTTTTCATATTATGAGAACAAGGAAACTGGATCAGGTGACCACTGGACAGATCTTTGGAAGAGACATAAAGACAATGTGAGAAGATTCTTGACAGTTTTTTGGCATGGCACGGAGGAGTGTCGGCACATGAAATGGTACACGCTGATGAAGATTGCAGACTGTGGGGGATTCTTAATCGCCCATGCCAGTTCGGCAAGGAACGTGATGATCATGATGATGATAACCAGAAGGGATAGACCTCACACTATATACCCAACAAATCACATGATCTGGACAGGGTCCTATATTTAGCCAACTTACCATGTCCACCAATGAGATGTAGAGAAACATGCCCCCAGCCACAGCAAAGATCCACTCGTGAGATTCTGTGTTTTCCCCCAGTAGGATGCCCACGATGGTCCCCAGATAACAGGTGCAGGCGGACAGGAAGTTGTACATCAGGGCTTTCCGGAATCCCATGCCAGAGTTGAGCAGGATGGCAAAGTCACCTGGTGATGGATGGAGTACTAATCACATATTGTCTTTGTCAGCTGTACTGTCTTCATCACCTGTACTGTCTTTGTCAGCTTTACTGTCTTTGTCAGCTGTACTGTCTTTGTCAGCTGTACAGTCTTCATCACCTGTATTGTCTTTGTCAGCTGTACTGTCTTAATCAGCTGTACTGTCTTCATCACCTGTACTGTCTTTGTCAGCTGTACTGTCTTCATCAGATGTACTGTCTTCATCAGCTGTACTGTCTTCGTCAGCTGTACTGTCTTCATAAACTCATAAAGCAATTCCTCACACACATACACAACTCAAAAAGCAGTTTCTCACACACACACACATACATTCACACGCACAACTCATAAGGCAATTCCTCGCAACTTTACCAACTCACAAAGCAATTCTCACACACATATACACAACCCATGCGGCAACTCCTAACAAACCTACCCAACTCATGAGGCAACTCCTCACAAACTTACCCAACTCATGAGGCAACTCCTAACAAACCTACCCAACTCATGAGGCAACTCCTCACAAACTTACCCAACTCATGAGGCAACTCCTCACAAACTTACCCAACTCATGAGGCAACTCCTCACAAACCTACCCAACTCATGAGGCAACTCCTCACAAACTTACCCAACTCATGAGGCAACTCCTCACAAACTTACCCAACTCATGAGGCAACTCCTCACAAACCTACCCAACTCATTTTGCAACTCCTCACAAACTTACCCAACTCATGAGGCAACTCCTAACAAACCTACCCAACTCATGAGGCAACTCCTCACAAACTTACCCAACTCATGAGGCAACTCCTCACAAACCTACCCAACTCATGAGGCAACTCCTCACAAACCTACCCAACTCATGAGGCAACTCCTAACAAACCTACCCAACTCATGAGGCAACTCCTCACAAACTTACCCAACTCATGAGGCAACTCCTCACAAACTTACCCAACTCATGAGGCAACTCCTCACAAACTTACCCAACTCATGAGGCAACTCCTCACAAACTTACCCAACTCATGAGGCAACTCCTCACAAACTTACCCAACTCATGAGGCAACTCCTCACAAACTTACCCAACTCATGAGGCAACTCCTCACAAACTTACCCAACTCATGAGGCAACTCCTCACAAACCTACCCAACTCATGAGGCAACTCCTCACAAACCTACCCAACTCATGAGGCAACTCCTCACAAACCTACCCAACTCATGAGGCAACTCCTCACACATGCTAACAAACCTACCCAACTCATGAGGCAACTCCTCACACATGCTAACAAACCTACCCAACTCATGAGGCAACTCCTCACACATGCTAACAAACCTACCCAACTCATGAGGCAACTCCTCACAAACCTACCCAACTCATGAGGCAACTCCTCACAAACCTACCCAACTCATGAGGCAACTCCTAACAAACCTACCCAACTCATGAGGCAACTCCTCACAAACCTACCCAACTCATGAGGCAACTCCTCACAAACTTACCCAACTCATGAGGCAACTCCTAACAAACCTACCCAACTCATGAGGCAACTCCTCACAAACCTACCCAACTCATGAGGCAACTCCTCACAAACCTACCCAACTCATGAGGCACTCCTCACAAACCTACCCAACTCATGAGGCAACTCCTCACACAAACCTACCCAACTCATGAGGCAACTCCTCACAAACCTACCCAACTCATGAGGCAACTCCTCACAAACCTACCCAACTCATGAGGCAACTCCTCACAAACCTACCCAACTCATGAGGCAACTCCTCACAAACCTACCCAACTCATTTTGCAACTCCTCACAAACCTACCCAACCCATGAGGCAACTCCTCACAAACCTACCCAACTCATGAGGCAACTCCTCACAAACCTACCCAACTCATGAGGCAACTCCTCACAAACCTACCCAACTCATGAGGCAACTCCTCACAAACCTACCCAACTCATGAGGCAACTCCTCACAAACCTACCCAACTCATGAGGCAACTCCTCACAAACCTACCCAACCCATGAGGCAACTCCTCACAAACCTACCCAACTCATGAGGCAACTCCTCACACATGACAGCCACACTGACACTGATTCCTGTCATGATGCTCTGAGTGAAAGCTGACCCTATGGACAGGCCATCTATAAAATTATGTAGAGCATCTCCAAAGATGACCATGTAGGCCACAGGAGCTATCTCCATCGACTGATGAAGGTGTTGATGGTGGGAATGTCCGTGGCTGACAGGTTTTTCCAATGAAGATGGTGAATGCTAAACATGAAAAAAAAAAACAGAATCTTATAACCTATGTAATGATTTTAAACAGTATGGAATATGAAAAGCGTAACATTATACACTACACACACACACACAAAATGGGCTGTGAAGTATGATGCCAAAATCATACTAGCCTCACAAAACGTGAAAAAAAAATTTGTTTTTATCTGAAACAATAACTGTATTATTAGGTGTGTTCATTTTAAACTATTTCAAATAATTGTTATTACAAAAGCATGGAAGAAACATTAACATGTATGGCAGAATTAAACAAGGCATTCATTTTGAAGTAATTATGCACCACGACTTAATCAGAAAAAGTCACTGTTTATATTCAGACAGGAATCCTAATGCTCAGATAGGTGGTGAATGCCGTCAGAAAAAAAGGGACTGTGATTGCTCACTGAACCAAGTGTTTACCACGTTCATTACATCTGCGTCTGTGTTAAATTTACAATACCTACAATGAATACACCTTCTGATACTGCAGTTTCTTATGAATGATCTACTAAACTGTTCCAAATGACACATCATTAGTGAATGTATGCTTCCTCGATGGTTCGCCTGTATTGCTGCATGAATTTTAACAATTTTTTTCCTGTTGCTACACTATGCACTTGACCCAACCATGGACAATCAGTCATGAACTCACATCCTTTCCAAAACATGTGTACCCAGTCATAACTATTGCCTTGGACACCAAATTATAAGATATGTGTTGTAAAAGTGACATATGTAAAATAATTATGCACTAAACAGTCGACATCTGTGGCTTAGGCTTCATGATTCCGTGGTACCGAGTTCAGAGGTGGAGCACTAGTTTTAGTTTTGACAGTGCCAACCACTCAGAAAGCAATGGCAAACTACTGAATGTTAAACTGCCTAGTTAAATCACAAACAGCCCAAGAAAGACTGGGGTTGGTCTACAAAGTCCCATGAAGAAATTGAACAACAATATGAAAGATTTCAATACATGTGTTCTGATCCAGAAATTTTAACTAAATCTATTTACAAAACTTCCCATTCATTTTGAAGGCTCTGAGTAACTTCATAACTTTCAATGTAATTTACAATTTAGTGCATTCAATTAAAATACAGACAATTCAGGACAGTATTTTAACAATTGTATAAAGGTACTTCAGACATGGGAGTCATGACAGTAAGGTGTTTATGAGTTTGAACTCCCACTGTGGTGGAGATTGATTCAATAAGCTGGGCTTTAAAAAGATACCTGAGAGTTTCCTGTTGTATACCCCCCCCCCCCCCCCCCCCCCCAATCACCTATCAAGTCAATCTTAAATATGGGACAACCTCACATACAAAATGCACCTGATAAAATAAAAAGTGGTCTTTTAGTTTACTTAATTTCTGACATCAGGATTTAAAAACTAAAAAGCATGATAAATAAAATATACCGTAACAATACACACACAAAAAGTGACAAATGGTCAAGTAACGGTCTTTCCTCACTCCATTAGCATTCTGGGTATTTTTACAGACCATCAGGCACTGGACTGGTGATGTGGTGAATATCATGCTGGCTTTAATTTCCTGGTTCTCAATTTAGGCTAGGTCAACTGTGAATCACAAGCCAATTATAAAATATCCACCCTGATGCAGATCTGGAGCCAAGACCTTTAGACTGGCAGGCAAGCTTCTAGCCACTACATCACTATCTTTCCATTGTTAGACACCTTTCCCCCTTCCCACACGACAGTATTATATTGTGCTAAAGGAAAGCATGAGGATCACAGTCCGTGGTGATGGCGAGTGTGACCAGTATGACACACCAACATTAAGAAACGTCTTCCACAATAGAGCATAGGATTCTGTCCCCTTGTTGCCATCACATGTATACATTGTGCTTCTTTTTTCTCAGACACCCAGCTCTCAACCAATTATCTCTTCCTTTATTCCCATTCCCTTCCTGATTTCCTACTCTATGCAATACAGTCCATGGCATTTTGCTCCCATGAATCTACCTCAATATTTGTATCATTCATGTTCCACCGTCCTCTCCAAAGTACCAAGCCTGGACAGTACTGTAGAGACCATGTGGTGCCCATGCATCATGATCCCTCTCTTCGCCTGCCTCATTTACTCCAAAGAACAGTAGGTTTGGAGCAAAGCAGGCTGGAGAAGCTGCCAGATCAGAAGAGCAGTGCTCTGTCTGTCCGCCTGTCTGAGCCTCCCTCATAGAAAAGTTGCCAGATCAGAAGAGCAGTGCTCTGTCTGTCCACCTGTCTGAGCTTCCCTCCTAGACCAGCTGCCAGATCAGAAAAGCAGTGCTCTGTCTGACCACCTGTCTGAGCCTCCCTCATAGACCAGCTGCCAGATCAGAAAAGCATTGCTCTATCAGTCCACCTGTCTGAGCTTCCCTCCTAGACCAGCTGCCAGATCAGAAAAGCAGTGCTCTGTCTGTCCACCTGTCTGAGCTTCCCTCCTAGACCAGCTGCCAGATCACAAAAGCAGTGCTCTGTCTGACCACCTGTCTGAGCCTCCCTCATAGATCAGCTGCCAGATCACAAAAGCAGTGCTCTGTCTGACCACCTGTCTGAGCTTCCCTCATAGACCAGCTGCCACTACACTACAACAGATCCCAAAACTGACAAGTAATAAACCATTACATGCATACAGAAAAAATATAACGAAATAATGGTAGAAGACATTTTTGTCTCATAAATGTATACAGTCTAGGAATAAAAACTCTTAACAAATTTTAAACAACTAAATAGTTGAAAAAACTGTAAAGAACTAAATTCTTCAGGCATGCTGCTAAAAAACTTTTATTTAAAAAAAAATGAGCTACAATCAAGGATCTAAAATCAAATACTAAGGAAACAATAAGGGATAAAATAATAGTACAATTAGAAACAATTTATATTTTTGATATATATAATAAATGATGACAGAAGTGAAACAGACATCAAAAAGGGTATAGGAATGGCCAAAAACAGATGATGACAGAAATGAAATGGAAATAAAAAAGCAGAAAGGAACTGCCTAAAATATAATCAACAATTTGAGACAAATGTGAACATACAGAGTGAACAAGAACACATTGAAAAGTATCAGCTGTTATGTAAATTCAATGCTAATCTTCTTCTTCTTCGCGTTCACCAGCTGTACACTCTGGCGGAAAGTTCTGGTTGCTCGTCCACTACTGAACTGCAGTCCTGTTCCAGAACCTGAGTGTTGCGTGTGCATCAGTTTTACAGATCTCATTCTCTTGAATACAGACTGTTGGTTCCTTGCCTTTCCGGCAGATGCACTCCGACTTCAAAGGAAGCTCCCCAATTAGTTGACTCTTACGACATGCTTTTGGGGAGGCAGTGGGTCTATTCTTGTTTTTCCCACAATGGGGCCCCGGAACCCACACGGGGGGCAATGCTAATACCTGGCAGAGAAACCTGCAACAAACAATTAGGGATCTGTTGTTCCTTACATGACATTAGGATAACTCCAGTTCAGTGAACAAACTCTGCAGAACCAACAAGGGTCCAAACTGTATATGCTAGCACTACACACAGATGGAGAGGCTGGCCAAGTGGTTACATTCTCAGCATGGTTAGGAGTAAAAATAAAATCCTACCCTGCACAGTCTGTGATGACTGCTGTAGCCATGCGGCCCTAAATCCTTCTTCTTTTTCCTCTTCTTCTTCTTTCATTCAATTGAAATAAGTCGTCTATATCAGCAATTTTTGTCTCTCTTATAAATTTCACTTTTCTGTTAGCTTCTGTCTTAGGACTAAGCTGACAGACAAAACAGAAGCAGTTCTTCTATTTTGTGGGTCTGCAAGTGTCAAAGGGTGGAAGAACACTGCTTTGGGGGACAGTAAAGAAGCATTATACAACACTGTACATGCAAGAACATTCTAGAGCAGTGGTTCTCAACTTTCCTCATGCCGCGACCCTTTAATACAGTTCCTCATGTTGTGGAGACCTCCAACCATACAATTATTTTCGTTGCTACTTCATAACTTCAATGAATACATGTTTTCTGATGGTCTTAGGCGACCCCTGTGAAAGGTCGTTCAACCCCCAACAGGGTTGTGTTCCACAGGTTGAGAACCACTGCTCTACAGGAAATGCACAGTAAACAGACAAATAAAGAAATCACTCATAAACTAATAATAGGGAATTAAAATCAATGGTATAATGGTGGAAAAAAATTGCAGCCCATGACAAATACTTTATTTAATTTAAAATACTTCCATTTACAGCAATACTTTTAATGCCTGATTACTTGAATTACTATGCTTGAATTAGCAAATTTACCTCTACAAAATGATTTTAACACATCTAAATTCTTATTAGGTTTATAATTATAAAATTTACCTTCATAAAGTACCTTAGACAAGTGAAAAAACGTCACAAATAACACTTTTTACATAAAACTGTACTGCTCGTTTACATCCATTTTAGGGCACTGCAGCATGGGATATAGGGCAGGGGTGGGGAAGGGCTGAGGGGTCTTAAACTTAAAGAAGGGGCTGCATGGCTGGTGTGGTCCCCACAGAGTGCAGGTTAGGATTTTGCATGTGCCAGCTTCTGGATTTTGGCAGGAATGCTGTTGTTTGAATTTTCACATGGGACTGCCGTGAGCATTTTGTGTGGTATTCACCAGCACAGGAATGGAGTAACTATGGGGTGACCCCTTTGGAAGCTGTAACCCCAACTGAGTGCCTTACAATGAAATATCTCGAACCAACAGACAACAAATCTCAGCCTAATCTCAGCAAAAATGTGCATGCTGTGCCGAAAAATAATCTGCTAAATCCATAATCCTTAAATGTCGAAATGCTTAAAACTTCTGTGTGCTCCAGACTGATATAAAGTAGTTTATATAATCCTGTTTATTTTTATTTTGTTTCATTCGTTTACATAATATTTGAATACCTTAATGTATTCTTCTTCTTCTTGTTCGCGGTCACCAGCTGTAAACACTGGTGGAAAGTTCTGGTTGTTTACCCACTTCTGGACTACAGTCCTGTTCCAAAACCTGCGTGTTACGTTTGCATCCGTTTTACAGATCTGACTCATTTGTATGCAGACTGCTGGTTCCTTGCCTCTCAGGCAGATGCACTCTGACTTCGAAGGAAGCTCCCAATTAGTCAACTCTTACGACATGCTTTTGGGTAGGCAGTAGGTCTATTCTTGTTTTCCCTATAATAGGGCCCGGGAATCCACACCATAATGTAGTCATTTCAGAGTCAGTTCAATTTGTGCAGTGTATCTTGTTTGTGATTGTTGATCCACTGATGAAGGCTAATCACTAAAACGTCCTTTGTCTAGTGTAACTGGTTCTGTAAAACTGACTTATACTTTGTTTCTCCCTTTTTTGTGTGTGTGTGGACAAGCTTCTCCAGTACCAGTCTTGCATGCTCCACTGATTTTTGACAAGCTTCTCCAGTACCAGTCTTGCATGCTCCACTGATTTTTGACAAGCTTCTCCAGTACCAGTCTTGCATGCTCCACTGATTTTTGACAAGCTTCTCCAGTACCAGTCTTGCATGCTCCACTGATTTTTGACAAGCTTCTCCAGTACCAGTCTTGCATGCTCCACTGATTTTTGACAAGCTTCTCCAGTACCAGTCTTGCATGCTCCACTGATTTTTGACAAGCTTCTCCAGTACCAGTCTTGCATGCTCCACTGATTTTTGACAAGCTTCTCCAGTACCAGTCTTGCATGCTCCACTGATCTGTGAGCTTGAGGAGAGAGTGTGAAAGCTCAGCATCACATTATCTGTGGAGATGATACTGTGGAAACAGGTCTGGAGGAAAGTCTCTACACCAACCTTACTTCTACAGACACTAGCCCTTTCCACAACTCTACATTTGTTTCAAACTTAAAACTAATGCTTCAGGCTTAAGAGTTCAAACTAAATCTTTTGGAGACAAACCAACAACAAAATAAATGTTTAAAATAAAAACAGCAGAAGACTAAAAAAGTTGGTTAAGCAAAATAACACAAATACATTTAACTGATGAGAGCATCTAGTCACAACTAATTATGGTGCTTTCTTTTTAGCTGACCACAAATGATATCACTGGACAAGTCCAATATTTGAGAGGGTGGTAAGAGTGGGTTTTCCATGCTTTCTGTGCTTTAGCAAATTTCTTACAGGGCCATGATTTTCCCGTGTGAACTCTAACTCTAACCCTAACCTAACTAAAACTATAAGCTTAATCTACCATCCCCTGAAATATTTAAGGACTGTCCTGTGACCTTGGATTTGCCCTGTTTGTGGTCGGCTAATAATAAGACAGTACTCAAATCATAACTCTATCTGCAAACTGAACTCACAGATGAACAAATACATTTTCATTTCACAATGATAAATTCAGAATCAACGTCTGTTTGGTTTGCTCCCTCTCGGATGTGTGTCGGTATATGTCTGTGTGTGTATGTATGCCGGTGTGTGTATGCATGTGTGCATGTGAGTGTGTGCGTGCATGCGCGCGAGTGTATGCATTTTACCACAGATGCTTTTGTGTTTTTTCTCGATATGCATATTATGCATATGAACATGCTTTATTGACAAAATACAACAACTGCTGTGTGAAAGACGGGTGTTTGGGAGCGCTGAATGTAAGACGGGAGTTTGGAAGCTGCTGTGTGAAAGACGGGTGTTTGGAAGTGCTGAATGTAAGACGGGCCTGCATGCTCCATCTGTGACTCTTTGAAAAAAGAATGTGTTCGTTTGTTCATACCTAAAGGCTTACCATATCATTCTGAGATTAATCAATCCTAATCTGGACGACAGACCAACATGGCAGATCCCAGATAACCCCCCGCCCCCCTTTTTCAATCTCCAAAGAAGTTTTAATTAGGGCACCTGTACAGGCTACACATACACAACACAGGTGTAACCTGCAGTCCTATTTGGGTAAGGACATTTTAGAAAAAGCTGAAAATGAGTTTTATATCAGCGCTATATTTTGAAGCAAGGGGTCATGCGGGAGCAGTAGGTAGTCCCCTCAACTGTTAGCCTGGTGGTCCTGCAAGTGCCGTGAATAGCACCCTCAATTGCTAGCATGAAAGTCCTGAGTTTTAATCCCAATTGAGGTGGATTTTAAACAAGTGACTACTGCTTGCAGGTAATTCATTTACTGATTCATTGTCTTTTGATGCTGTTATATGTCAGACAGGACTGGTAGTCTGTTTCTTCACTTTGTTCTAAACCTGTGCAATCACTTTGATTTCATGGATGGTGTCCAATCTAGCACCTTCGGCTTCTCTCAGAAATTAGGGTTTCTCTTTGACATCACTGTTTCCTCATTCTCTCAATTTCCATTTCCTGCAAGTATCTGTAGCAAATAATTTCTTACAGGGTGGGGGAGCTAGCCCCATGCTTAACCCTCCTCCTTCCTCATCCGGGTTTGGGACCGGCAATGGTGGAGATGCTTCCAGGACCACTCCACCTAAAATGGTTACCCACAAGCGTTCTAGGAATATAGTTTTGACAACATCAACTAGTGAGTGTTGAAGGGTATAAAAACCAAACAACACAAGGCTAGCTCCATATACCCAAAATGATTAAAGGCAAGGACAGGGGCCCTTAACTTACACAGGAACCAACAACCAACGACAACAAACATACACTACCAACCAATGGTTGCTGGCATGAAAAGGAATGAGAAATAAAATGAATATTACAAATAAAAAACATTACATTTTGTGAACCTTATTACAATTAAAAAGTATTACTGTTGTAACTCTGTAACTTTGTACAAATGTTAACCAAACAACATAGTTCTTATTTGGACTGCTGACATTACTGACTATAGATTTGACAAATATTTTATCCTATTTTAACTGTCTACATTATTAACTACAGATCTGGCAATGATATTACCCTTTTCTAACTTTCTACATTTTAATCATCAGATATGACTAATATATTATCCTTTAACCATCTAAATTACTGACTACAGATCTGACAATTATATCTTCTTGTTTTAACTTTCTGCATTACTGACTACAGATCCGACAAATAAATCTTCTTGTTTTAACTTTCTGCATTACTGACTACAGATCCGACAAATAAATCTTCTTGTTTTAACTTTCTGCATTACTGACTACAGATCCGACAAATAAATCTTCTTGTTTTAACTTTCTGCATTACTGACTACAGATCTGACAATTATATCTTCTTGTTTTAACTTTCTGCATTACTGACTACAGATCTGACAATTATATCTTCTTGTTTTAACTTTCTGCATTGCTGACTACAGATCCGACAATTATATCTTCTTGTTTTAACTTTCTGCATTACTGACTACAGATCTGACAATTATATCTTCTTGTTTTAACTTTCTGCATTACTGACTACAGATCCGACAAATATATATTGCTATTTTAAACATACACATTATTAACTACAGATTATTTGAGAAACATATCATCTTTTTTTTACCTACATTATTGAACACAGATATAACAAATATATTATCCATTATCCATTCTAACTATCTACATTACTGTCTACAGATATGATAAATATATTATCTATTCTATCTACATTATTGTCTACAGATGTGACAAATATATAACCCTAATTTAACCTTCATCATTATGGATACCAGATCTGACTTACAGATAGCCCTATTTTCATGGTCTACATTAATGTCTTCAGATTCTGGTACATAAAAGAAACCACTTAAATAGATTAATTATTTTCTCACCCATAATCTATACCAGGGTTATCAACTACGTTAATTCAGGGGCCAACATTTTGAAAATGGGGATATTCACGGGCCAGATTGGATATTCACGGGCCAGATGGGGATAGTCACGGGCCAGATGGGGATATTCACGGGCCAGATGGGGATAGTCAGGGACCAGATGGGGATAGTCACGGGCCAGATGGGGATAGTCAGGGGCCAGATGGGGATATTCACGGGCCAGATGGGGATAGTCATGGGCCAGATGGGGATAGTCACGGGCCAGATGGGGATATTCACGGGCCAGATGGGGATAGTCACGGGCCAGATAGTGATAGTCACGGGCCAGATGGGTAAGGTGGGGTATCATTGGGACAAGAACTGGATCCAAAAATCTGGTGATCACGTGAGATGGTGAACCATGACTGCCTTTTTATGATGTTCATTTTTGTTGGCACGATATTAATTCTGATCTTTCTTCTACTGAAAAATATTATGCGATGTAATTGAGAAGATAAGCTAACTATTCCAGCAATTAAACAAAAGAAATTGATTCAGCATGTCTATGGAAAGTCAAAAAAGCACTCTTCATATGTACTCAGGAGTGAGAGCGAAAGAGATTTACTTTCAAAGCAAGGCCCTATCTTCAGAATTAATCCAGTGAGCTGTGACTAAAAAGCTTAATGAAAATGGGGGAGCAGAAAAATGTGCACAAAACAACACAAATTGATCTTTCGGCTGAGATTAAGAGCAGGGCAACATTTGATAACTGTGAAGTTTGGCTGCATGAAGCCACGGTAGCCTACTAGCTTGATGCCCTGACTGTCAATAGTTCAAATCAGCATTGAGGCAGACTTTTTAGATTGACATTGGCTGCCATGATGATCCTGCCTAAAACTGGTACCAGGAAACTTCCTAGGAAGGAAAAGCGACAGGCATAACGTGACCAAAAAGGAGTGAAAAGAGTCCTTTACCTTTATTTTTTTAAGGTGGGGTGTAAAAGAAACAGATGGAGACCACAATAAGTGATGTTAGATGGTCTCTGGTGGTGGCATGGAACAATCTCATCAGAACTGGTTCAAAATATCAAGGACATGAATGTCTATGTCATCTGGTAGATAAAGTACCAGTCCATGATATTCTATGCATTATGGGTGATTTCAATGCAAAAGTTGGTAACAACAACTTGAGTAGAGAACTATCAATAGGAAATCAAGGATGTAGTACAATTAATGATAACAGGGAAAGACTTCTGCGCTGCGAATAGACTTGTTATAGGAGGAACACTATTTTCTCACAAGAATATACACAAGCTTACACGGATATCCCAAAATGGAAGAGATGTAAACCAGATCAACCATTTCATGGTAAACAGAAAATGGCGTGGGTCCCTACTCGATGTGCGTGTCAAAAGGGGAGCAGATGTAGGAAGCGATCATCACCTTATAGTTGCTCTACTATGACTTAAACTCAAAAAAAGTTCACACGCAAGTTAAGATACAGACAGCACGCTACAATGTTAACCTTTTAAGAGAAAAAGACATTGCCACTAAATTTATAGTAGAACTCAAGAATAGATTTCAAACCCTATCAAGTGACCCTGACACTCAAACTGCAATCAGCATTCAAGGCAGATGGAACCAGATCAAAGAAACATCCAAATCAACTAGCAACAACATATTAGGAACCAGGAAACAACACCACAAAGAATGGATAAGCAATCAAACCATGGACTATATTGCCAAGCAAAAAAGAATAAAGAACCTCATAAATCACACTAAATCAGAACGTCAGAAAGACAAACTAATGTTAGAATATAGCAAACTAAATAAATGACAAAGAAAAGTGCCAGAGCTGACAAAATAAGATTTATGGAAAATCTAGCAGAAACAGCAAAAAATGCTGCTAAAGCACAAAATTTGCGGAAGCAGAAACAATTATCACAGCATACCCAAGTCAGACTGCTCACCACAGAACAAAAACAAGACATGCAGTGGACTAAACACTTCTCCGACCTCTAGAACAGACCTGATCCTGAAAATCCCCCCAGATATTCAACCAGCCTCTCAGGACACTGACATTATTACTGAACCACCAAGCAAACAAGAAATCCTTAAAGCTATCCACACTTTAAAGAACAACAAAGCACCCGGCAAAGACGAACTGCCAGCAGAACTTCTCAAAGTAGATCCCAATACAACTGCTAGCATTCTAGAACCATTGTTCAAGGATATTTGGGAAAAAGAAGTGTTGCCTGATGACTGGACCGAAGGAACAATAGTCCAAATTGCCAAAAAATGAGACTTAACAGACTGCAATAATTGGAGGGGAATTACTCTACTCTCAGTACCAAGCAAAATATTTGGTAAAATCATCATAATGAGGCTTGAAAAAGGAGTAGATAAATGCCTACGAGTAGAACAAGCAGGATTCAGAAAGGGCAGAGGAACAACTGAACACATCTTTGCCATACGCAACATTTTAGAACAATGCAATGAATGACAGAGAAGTATATATATTAATTTTGTGGACTTTGAGAAAGCTTTTGACAGCGTACATAGAGACAGTCTATGGACAATTTTACGACATTATGGAATTCCAGAAAAAATAGTCAACATAACTGCTCTCTTCTATAAAGACTTTTCTTGCAGTATAAAAAAAAATTACATCTTTCCCAGTAAAGACAGGTGTAAGACAAAGATGTGTTATGTCATCTCTCCTCTTCAACCTTGTGATTGATTGGATACTAAAGAACACGGTAGACAGGACATTAAGAGGCATACAATGGACTCCCTTCACCATGCTGGAGGACCTTGATTTTGCAGATGATATAGCACTCCTATCACATAAACATGAACATATACAAGAGGAAAGTAACAGACTACACAGCACAGCAGAAATGGTGAGACTGAGAATAAATACAAAGAAAACTAAGATCATGACGAGCAGTCCAAACCAACAACCAGTGACCATAAATAACCAACTCTTGAAAATGTAGAACATTTCACATATCTTGGCAGTGTGGTGTCCCTGCCGGGAAGGACCCAAGAGGACATACAGTCACGTCTGAACAAAGCTAGAGCTGCTTTTGGAAGGATGAGAATAAATACAAAGAAAACTAAGATCATGACGAGCAGTCCAAACCAACAACCAGTGACCATAAATAACCAAACTCTTGAAAATGTAGAACATTTCACATATCTTGGCAGTGTGGTGTCCCTGTCGGGAGGGACCCAAGAGGACATACAGTCACGTCTGAACAAAGCTAGAGCAGCTTTTGGAAGGATGAGGCAAATCTGGAAATCCAACAATCACTGCAGAGGAACAAAACTCCGACTCTACAAAAGCATCATTTTGCCAGTTCTTCTTTATGGAGCGGAAGGCTGGAGAATGACCAAAAAGGATGCATACAAGCTGTCTACCTTCCACCACACATGTCTACGTAGAATTATCAAAATTTTCTGGCCAAATACAATCTCAAACACTAAATTACTTCGTCACAAACCAAGAAACTTTAGACAATATGATAACCAAGAGAAGATGGAAATGGCTTGGCCAGGTTATGAGAATGAATCCTGATATACCCACCAAAACAGCTCTCACATGGACACCAGAGGGAAAGAAAAAACAGGGGCGCCCAAAAACAACATGGAGAAGAACGATGGAAAGTGACCTGAGTGCGGCATCTTTGACATGGAAAACTGCACTGAAGATTGCACAGGACAGGAAAGCATGGAAAGTCCTCTCTGAAGCCTCATGTGCCACTAGGCACAACGAGAACTGATGATGATGATGAATGTCTACGTCATCTGGCAAGACTCACGATCGTGACCATACTGGTGATTGATGTGAGGATGATGATGATGATGAATGGAACAGATCTGCAAAAAGTTATAATATTTAGCTATACTCTGAAAACAGTGAATGGAACAGATCTGTAGAAAGTTGTAATATTTAGCTATGATCTGAAAATGAGAAATCTAACAGACATTTTTAGCTATCATCTGAAAATGATGAATGGAACACATATGCATAAAGTTGTAACATTTAGCAATGATCTGATAATTATGAAATTAACAGATCTGCACAAAGCTGTAACATTTTTAGCTATGATCTGAAAATATAGAATGGAACAGATCTGCATAAAGTTGTAACATTTAGCTATGACCTAAAAATGATGAATGGAGCAGATCTGCAGAAAGCTGTAAAATTTATCTATGATCTGAAAATGAGAAATCGAACAGACATTTTTAGCTATGATCTGAAAATGATGAATGGAACATATATGCAGAAGGTTATAAGATTTAGCTATGATCTGAAAATGATGAATGGAACATATATGCAGAAGGTTATATAAGATTTAGCTATGATCTGAAAATGATGAATGGAACATATATGCAGAAGGTCATAAGATTTAGCTATGATCTGAAAATGATGAATGGAACATATATGCAAAAGGTTATAAGATTTAGCTATGATCTGAAAATGATGAATGGAACAGATATGCAGAAGGTTATATAAGATTTAGCTATGATCTGAAAATGATGAATGGAACATATATGCAGAAGGTCATAAGATTTAGCTATGATCTGAAAATGATGAATGGAACATATATGCAAAAGGTTATAAGATTTAGCTATGATCTGAAAATGATGAATGGAACAGATATGCAGAAGGTTATATAACATTCTCTCCCAAAAAAAGGAGATCTGAAACTATGCTTCAACTACCGTACCATCGCATTAATAAGTCATGCTAGCAAAATCCTCTTATGAATTATCATGAAGAGGATTGAAAGGAAACTACAATATGAGCTAGATGAAGAACAAGCAGGTTTCAAACAGGGTAGAGGAACTAGGGATCACATCTTTAATATGAGGATCATTTTTGAAAAATGCAAAGAATACAACGAAGATCTTCATGCTAGTTTTATTGATTATAGCAAGGCATTTGATTGTGTCCAACACCACAAACTGTGGACTATTATGAAAAGTATGGGGTTTCAGCACATTTAGTACATTTAATTGAAAATCTTTATAATCAACAACAAGCAGCCATCAGAGCAGCTGGTGAAACATCTGACTGGTTCGAGGTGCAAAAGGGGGTGAGGCAGGGGTGCATTCTCTCACCATACCTATTCAATATATACTCAGAAAATATAATGAGAAATGTCAAAAATGACCAGACTTGTGACAGTTATGATCCGCTCAAAATTGGTGGCAACCCTATTCCGAAACTCCGCTACGCAGATAACACAGTCCTTCTTTCAACCAGCGTAAAGGGAATAGAAAATTTAATATTGTCTGTCTAAAATCACAGTGAAGATCAAAATCTGTTCTTGAATTTAAAGAAAACAAAAATAATGTCCATAGATAAAACTGGCTGTCACCCAAAAATAAAAATAAATGATAAAGAAATTGAAAATGTCACAAACTTTGAATATCTAGGATCTATAATAAACAGCAATGAAGACTGTTCATCAGAAATTAAAAGGAGGATGGCCATAGCAATGCAAAGATTGAACAGCCTTAAAAGTCTGTGGTTAAGCACCAGCAAGGAGATAACAATTCGAATTTTGAGAGCATGCATCTTCCCTGTGGCTACATACGGATGTGAGTCGTGGACTATCTCTCAGTCTTTAAGAAAGAGAAAGGGGTTTTTGAGCTGAAATGCTATAGAAAGATTCTCAGAATATCTTGGACAAAGAAGAGAAGAAATATTGACATCTTGAAAGATCTGAACATCAGGGAAGATTGGCTAATAAACAGCATCCTTTCTCGTAAGCTGAAATATTTTGGTCATATCAAGCACAACAGTGGATTGGAAAAAATTATAGCAGAAGGCATGGTACCAGGAAGGAGGGGCAGGGGCCGACCAACATGAAGATGGGCACAGGACATAAGTGACTCCTTGAGTTTGAAAGTACATGAGGCGGGAGAACTGGCGAGAGACTGAGTTTCTTTCAGGCAGACCTTGATGAGGGCGACATTCTGCAAAGGACCTGCTACATGATGATGATGATATAACATTCAGCTAAGATCTGAAAAAAGTGGACTAGTTAAAACATGATGACTCACCAAGTCTCCTCCACCTCCACTGTTGAAGAGTGAGTAATCAATATTATCGACGATCTTGTCATGGGGATGAACAGTGGCTATCTCACTACTGCTGCTGGAGTGGAGGCTGTTGTGGGGGTTCCCCTGATTGAGACATATGCCTCCAATGTTGTCAGGTATCTGGGCTGGATCCTTGCCGGGTAGAGAGTTGTCTAAAGGGATGCGTCTGAACGAGGTGGTCACTGCACCTTCAGTTGCTAGTTCATCCCTTCGCTTCTTCATACTGGTATTCTGAAAATGTAAAGTATAGGACCCTTTTTATGGCAGTGGAGCGTCAGGAATATGACGTTTATACAACAATCAGCTATCGATAGGTGATGCAGTCAACATTCTGAAAATGTTGGAGACCCCGAATTAGGAAATCTGTCTGTCCTTACATTTGCGTTTACTATTTCTTAAGGCAGTGTGAGAGACGTTTTGAGAAATGGCTGACCAAGTGGTTAAGAAAGCTGGGCTCTCATGTGGGAAAACCCAGGTTTGAATCCTCAGTAGAGTCATAGATTTTTTTTGGGTTGGGATCAAAAAATAAAATCCTGACTTGTAAAGTCAGTGTTGACTAGCCATGGGGCCCTAAATCTTCAGGCTCAAGAAACCCCTTTACATCACTAACTCATACATAAAAGGCAGTAATTAGCAGGGCTTTTTGTTGGTGGGGATAGAGAAGAGGAGGTGGCTTCAGCCTGAGTATTTAGGGTTGTGCAGCTGTTATAGTCACTAAAAACTTTGGAAGATAGGTTTTATTTCTTTTTTTTTTTAAACTTAAATGCAACAGAAAAGCTCAGTGTAAAAAAATAATGCACTGTAATAGGAAACAAAAATAATCATATGTCCAGCATACTAGTCAGACGGTGATGGGCAGTATGGACCTGGAAAAAAACAATTGATGACTAAAAGAGAACATAGCTACCGAAAAGTGCTTATGATGCATTAAGAAGACCCTAATGAACGCAACAAAGTCACAAGTGTGTAACTGAATAGTGGCTGTGGAAAGTCCTGGACACATATACCCACTGTTAATGCACCTGGCCATGACACTATGTACATCATATCAATCTGATGGTCTAAAGCGAGCAGGTCTTGCTAATCACACACTCCATACAGCATTGTATAACACTGTTGTCTCGAAAGACAAAGCAAGGTGCTAACTAAAAACTAAAAACTAAAGTTTTACGCAACCACACACCCACCTAGTGCCCAAGTGGATTGTACCATGTTGTTTAACAATCCTACCTCCTGGGAGACTTTAACTAGGCCATTCAGTTAAGTACACTCACCCATATGCTACCTAATACAGAGGTATGACCTCATTCAAATGTAAAACACATCTCAAGCACACACAAAATGTCAGCTCTCTTTTTCTGGCCATACATACCTCCCTCCTCTCATTGATCATCCTCATGATCTTCTCTGTCATGTAGAAGAGATAAATCCCTCCCATGATGGTGGTTGCTTTCCAGAGATAATCTTTGTCACCATCCTCCGTCAACAGGAAAGCCTGCATGAAAGATGCACATTGCTGTCTATCAGCACATTTCATTTTATTATTATAATGCAGCTGCAATGAGAATAAGTCAACAGTAGACTAAGGTTTAAGGAGCATCTGGTACCACCCCAGCTGGCACTCAATGGAAAACATAGTCAGTATCTATAACTTTACTTACAAGTTAGTTTTTCTTCATTAATACACATTACCTAAAAATTAAGTTTACTCCACAACCCCTCCCCCCCCCCCCTTCTTTTCCCTCCACCCAAATAAAATTAGTTTTTCTTTTAACATATCCTAAGAATAAACATTGTTATGAGTTAGATTATCTTCAGAGCACTCCTGACACATCCATAGGTGCTCAGATTCCCCTCTCAACATATTCATCAGCGTTGTGCGGTTAATAGTGCCAGTCCTATTTTGGTTAACAAGACTTCGTGTGCGTCCAGTGTGCTTCTCATGCTTGGCTGTGCCGATCTTTACTCCAACTTCACGTATTCTTTGAAGTGATGTGGACTTGTTGCTTCCAAAATCATCAGAGCGTCCTATCTCTCTAAGGGCAATGACAATGTCTGCGTGATCCATGGGCCGGCCATCTTCATTTAATGCAGTGCCTGCCAGTCTATCAGCTCTCTCATTACCAACAACGCCTACATGCCCTGGGACGAATATGAAAGTAACTGCACACAGGAGAATTTTGCAATGACTCAAGCCGCTCATTGCTTCATTTTGCACCTTCTCAAATCTTTCAATCCAATTGAATGAATAAACATTACATGGCAAAATGTCCTTTACATTACATAAACTAAACTACACATTAAAACAGGTTTCCTGATGTCATTGTACCACATCTTTACCCAGAGAATAAGCTCTCCCTAGGCTAAACAAAGCCAAATACAAAAATCTCCACTTCTTCATCGGCTGCTCCTTAGCATTCAGGAGCTTTAAACTGGAAATTACTGTACTTGTTCGTGTATCAGATGCCCCAATGTATAAGACGACCCCACATTTTTTTAAAGCCCCAAAATTATAAACATATTTCCTGTATAAGGCTAGCCCAATTTAAACTTAACACATGTAGATAAACACATAGTCTCATACACGGAACAATCCGGTATTCTTTGGTTTGGCATAAAGATGGCCAGCATGATACTGAACGCTAAACTTATGGAGTATTATTAGTCGTATTGAGTATATGGTGCTAATTCAGTATTTAAAGACTAATAATAAGCTAAAACCCTTGCCATGCCATGAGATGTATTGAGTATATGGTGCTAATTCATTAAAATCTCATGGCATGGCAAGGGTTTTAGCTTTACTGGCACCAGTTTGAGAAGAGGAAATTAACCTGCGACAACTAGCAAGATTAAGGGTAGTACAGAAAGAGGCTGAACAAGAAAGAGACTGGCAATGGGATCAAATGTTAAATGGGTTGAAAGAGCAGCATGGAAGATGTTCATCAGTCTCAGACGCATTTCATCAGTCTCAGACACATTTTTTGTGTAAGAAGATTATGACATGTGCCCCTCAGGAAGGTACATGATGATGATATGATGATGGTTGTGGTGATATGATGATGGTTGTGGTGATATGATGATGATGGTGATATGATGATGATGGTGATATGATGGTGATATGATGATGGTTGTGGTGATATGATGATGGTTGTGGTGATATGATGATGAAGGAGGTTTAAGTTTCAGCAACAAACGTCATTTATTCTGTAATATCTTTCTTCATCTGCATAGCTTTCTAGTCATAATGGAAGCTACACATTACTCCAAAATGAGATTTCTTGCATAAACACAAGTAAACAATGCTCACAAGATTGTTTTTCCTGGCACACAGGGAAAGCCAAACAAGTCTACATAATTAGTTTTTCTGACACAGTTCAAGTCAAACAGCAGTGAAACATGACACTAATATGTCAGACAAGAGGGTGCACCAAGTTATGCAATTCAATTACTGCCAATTACATGCACAAATATGCAAGTTTTATAGTTGCAGTTGAAACCCTCAATTCCGGGCACTTGTTAATGTAACACAGATGAAGTCCTAACCAAATAGTTTTCAACCTTTGTTGTTTTTTTCCCCCAGGTTTTCACAAAATGAGTTAAAAGTAAAATGTGGGACAGAATAGGGTAATGTAAAACAACTGGATAAATAAAAAGAACTTAATGAAAAAAGCATAAGAGGACCCTGTAAATATGTGGAAAGTTGCCTGGTATAAATAAGTTTTGGTAACTGTGATCGCAAAATTCTGGCTCACTCACCTCAGGGATCAGAAAAAGAAGTCCGCTGCCGGCCAGAGTTCCGACGGCTAAGGCAACCATAAACATGAGTACCATTTTGTAAATCCTCATCCTCATGCAAGGTATGACAATAGCTCCGGTCAAGGAACACAGATTGATGAGGGTCACAAACAGCATACTGTAGCCCCAGGCTGGCCAAACACAAAATAGTAATTACAAACAGAACGTGGCAAGTTCAGAGCACATTTGCTTGACATACGGTAAACTGTCATGTATTAAGTTGAGTTTTCAAGCCCTAAAACTCTTTCCAAAACTTGGTGTCAACATATATAAAATGCGTTAGGATTATTTTAGAATGATAAGCTAAAAATCTTGAGGTCGACTTCTAAGTAAGAGTTTTAAAGGAAGGAAGGAAGGAAGGAATGGAATGGAAGGAAGGAAGGAATGGAAGGAAGGAAAGGAAGGAAGGAAGGAAGGAAGGAAGAAAGGAAGGAAGGAAGGAAGGAAGGAAGGAAGGGAAGGAAGAAGGAAGGAAGGAAGGAAGGAAGGAAGGAAGGAAGAGGAAGGAGGAAGGAAGGAAGGAAGGAAGGAAGGAAGGAAGGAAGGAAGGAAGGAAGGAAGGAAGGAAGAGAAGAAGAACATTCTTATCTGTAAACCTTTGGCAGGGAGAATCAAAAGGAGGAGGAGGATGAGGAAAGAAAGAAAGAAAGAAAGAAAGAAAGAAAGAAAGAAAGAAAGAAAGAAAGAAAGAAAGAAAGAAAGAAAGAAAGAAAGAAAGAAAGAAAGAAAGAAAGAAAGAAACGGGGGAGGGGGGGGGGGGAGAGGAGGAACATTCTCATCTGAAAACCACTCACTGGTAGGCAGAATCAAAAGATGGAGGAGGTCGTGGATAAAGAAAAGAAGGAGGAGGGCAAAGAAGGATGATATGAAGAGCCTGTTCCTAGAGACATTGGCCAGATGATACGAGCTTCATAATATTTACAGACCAGTCAACACTCAATTTATCATGTTGGCTGCTGTAAAAAAAAACATATATATATATATATATATTTACATATATACATTTGAAAGACTCACATTCTGCAGATTTTGGTACGAGACTCCTTTTCGGAGTACCATGATGTGAGATGATGTCAGTGAGCTGCAGATCATCACAGGATATCAGGGAGTAGACCAGAGCCGGGGATATGTGTACCACATCTTGTTGTGAGAGACTCCCACTGATGTTCACGCTGTAGAGACTTGTCAGATCTTTGACACTGATGCATTTCTGTGACAGGGGAAAGCACACAACAGACTGAAATATACTGTTGCTGAAAAACTACTGCAAGGGTAATTTAGTGTTGTATCAATGTCTTCATGTCTTTGGTTTCAATTCACAGCAAATAATGGACAGTGGGTAATATGCTGCGAAATAAATGCCGGTGGCGTGCTGCTGACCATATCACCTTCTTTCACACAATACCAACATACTTTATTTCATTCCCCTATCAGTTGCTCTTTATTTTCTACATTGGCACATAGTTTCTAGACTGCAGAAGATACTTCTGGAGATTTTTCTCTGCGACATGAGGCAATCTTGACTCTTTAACTGCCCTCAGCAATGCCTAAATACTTCTAGGAGAAGAACAGGTATCTTTAGCTAAGTCACTTGCCTCATGCTCTGAAAGTCAGGTGTTGCCTTCCCAGACTTCCCATGTGGGTTTCCGGTTCCCATTTTGAGGAAAATAAAGAATATACCAACTGCTTCCCTAACAAAGACATAAGAGTCAATTAATCAGGGTGTTTCCTAAAGAATATAGAGTGTACCTGCATGAGAGGCGATGAACCAATAGTCTGCTTACAAATAAGCTAGATGTGTAAAACGAATGTGCCTGCTAACCTCAAGTTCTAGAACAAGACTAAATTCCAAAAGTGGATGAACAACCAGAACTTTCCGCCTGAGTTTACAGCCAGGGAACATAAAGAAGAATAAGATTTCCCAGACAGCACAGTTCTGTTCATGCAATGTTTTACAAAGATCCCCCGGGGTCATCACAGGAGCAACAGTGGTTGATGAAATGCTCTAGGCAGCTTTCCATTCTGAGGAGAGTCTGAGCCCCGTGGAATAAAACCTGGGGCAGTGAAGTTGATCCTCTTGCCTTTAAAATATTCATCATCATCATTATAAACAACTTATGTCATTAAGCATCATGGGAGAAAAAATTTGTGCTCCAGTACACATTGGCTTGTACTGGCTATTGTCATGCTGTAAAAGGCCTTAAGTGTCTTTAATGTTGTCAATCCTCTTTTTTTGTGTGGCCCTTCTCTTGCTCCTGTAGTTGACCTTCGGAGATGTAGTGCTAATGATGGTAACTGATCTTTCTGCATTCTAACGAGATGGCCAGACCACATGATCTGCCGTTTCTCAATGAATCTAGTACAAGGTGTTGTTCCTACAACCAGTCTGATAGTATTATTATTCACTCGTTCTCGGATGGGTAGGTTGGCAGTTTTTCTCAGGCCCCTCATTTCTCAGGCGGTTATTTTGTGTATATAAGCTTGAGCTAATGTCCATGTTTGGCACTGGCTTTTCAATGTGGGTATGAATAGGCTATATAGAATTTGTTTTCTTTGCACTTATAGTTACATTTCAATGTCCTATTAATGATGACAAGCAATTTTTTCTTTTCTTTTAGCTGCCTGTTTTCATGGCTGGTTGAATTTTGTGTCCAAGGTATTCTATGGAATGGGGTAGCTAGTCCCATGCTAATCTACCTTAATAGCATATTATGACATGCATGAGAGGCTGCAGTGTGAATATATTCATGTTTGCCTTAACTCTTTCAGTCTCAAGCAATACATGGTGAGTAAATTACTTTACCCTTCGATTTCACCCTATAGCAGAATGTGTTCTCTTAGTTTCCTATTTGGTCAGAACATACTAAAGAAACATGGCATCCCCAAATGGTCACTAACGGCTGTGTATATTGCCACTTTTAATTAAAAAAACACAATTTTTCATCCTGGTTTTGTCTTTACTTCACATATATCCCATTTCAACTTATGGTATTCAGAACCAGGGCCTGAGTTTTGCGTGTACATCCGTATTACTGGCTTATTTGTGTACAGCTGGCTGTTCCCTACCACTCTGGCAGATGCACTCTGACTTCGAAGGAAGCTCCCAATTAGTCCACTGTTACGATATGCTTTTTTGGAGGGTTGGGGGGAGGCAGTGGACCTATTCTTGTTTTCCCCACAATGAGTTTCTTGAACCCACACGGGGAAGGCAAAGAAAAGCAAATAATTCTCACCTTTTCATTCTGTAAGCACGTCAACAGCGTACTGAAGTTGTTAGCAGGGTCAAAGCATGTAGTATTCAACAATGATATATTTACAGTTGCAGCCCAAGCAGGTTTCAGAAATCTTGTAATGGCTGCCAACGACATGCCACTGTCGGCCACAGCAGATGCAAACACATCTTGAAGTCCCTGACTGTTCTGAGCTTTCCCTTTCTGAGTGGCTAGACTAATGATACCAGCCAACAATATAGTTCTCTCTATTGCCAACATTTTTTATCTTTGTGTTAAAGTTGAAAAAGAATTGCAATTTTTAAGAATTGATTCTTCCTTTCATCTTAGTTCACTTCCCTTTGATGATGGTCATCTAATGATTGTGAATTGAAATCTAAAATGGAAAAACAAAACAATGTAAACAAAGTAAAGTTAAAGTGAAGGGCTTTTTTCTATGTTATCAGGCGTACTGGGCAATCAGTAGGTTATGTGGTCAACATCACGCCGCTGCCTTTTACTTCCCAGGACTTGACCTAACTCGTAACCCATTTGAGGCTGGGTCAACCTGGAAGCCTAATCTATTTCTGAAAAAAGAAAAAGAAAAAGACTGGCTCCTTTTGGATTTGAACCAAGCTAAACCAAGGTGGCCGTAATGAAACAGAAGAGGAAAACAAAGAATGTCATTACCACCACAAGTAGCATAGGCTACACCAGGGTTATTTAGCAGTTGGCAGTGATCCGCGGGCTACTTGCTAAGTATGTGTGCACCAGATTCAGCCCATGGGCTAACAAGTATATTTTGTTAACAGCTAATGTGAAGTAACTCACTAACGAGTATACTTTGTTAACCATACAGTTAATGTGAGGTGACTTGCTAATATACATTTTGTTAACTGAACAGCTAATGTGAGGTGACTCGCTAACATACATTTTGTTAACTAAACAGCTAATGTGAAGTGACCCGCTAGCATGCATTTTGTTAACTAAACAGCTAATGTGAGGTGACTCACTAACAAGTACACTTTGTTAACTAAACAGCTAATGTGAAGTGACTCGCTAACAAGTTCATTTTGTTAACTTAACAGCTAATGTGAAGTGACTCACTAACACACATTTTGTTAACTTAATAACTAATGTTAGGTGACTCGCCAAAAAGTTTTTTTTCGTTTTTACTCGACAGCTAAAATTTGGTGACTTGCAAAAAATACATTTTGCTAACAGCTTTTGTTAGGTAATTCACTAACAAGTACTTACTGTTAAAAAAAAAAAATCTAACTCGCTAACAGGTCCACTGTGTACAGCTTATACCAGGTAACCTAAATATCGAGTTCATCTTGCTAACTAAACGTTAGATGACAGATGACCTGACTGCACATATAATTATTTTAGTAAACAAACAGCACATTGCAGGTTAGTATATTTTGTTAACTGAACTATACACCCCAGGTGTATACTTTTTTACTTAAAAGTATACTTTAAACTATATAATACCTTCCAAGTACAATAGTTTAAACTATATAATAACTTCCAAGTACAATAGTTTAAACTATATAATACCTTCCAAGTACAATAGTTTAAACTATATAATAACTTCCAAGTACAATTGCTTAAACTATATAATACCTTCCAAGTACAATAGTTTAAACTATATAATAACTTCCAAGTACAATAGTTTAAACTATATAATACCTTCCAAGTACAATAGTTTAAACTATATAATAACTTCCAAGTACAATAGTTTAAACTATATAATACCTTCCAAGTACAATAGTTTAAACTATATAATAACTTCCAAGTACAATAGTTTAAACTATATAATACCTTCCAAGTACAATAGTTTAAACTATATAATACCTTCCAAGTATAATAGTTTAAACTATATAATAACTTCCAAGTACAATAGTTTAAACTATATAATAACTTCCAAGTATACTAATTACAAATACACATTTTTTTTTTTAAACTAAACATTAACACCAGCTAACTTTAACTTAGGCACACACTGATAGTGGAAGCCACCAAAAACACAACTTTAATATCTCCAGCAACACTAGACTAAAAGAAAACATCAACTGTTACTGGCTTAAATAATTAATAAAATCAACAGGGAAAAAAAAAGCAGAACAAAATTCTGACAATGAAACACACAGGAACAAATAAAACCAAGAAGAATAAAAGGAAAATCCTGTCTTGTGTGTGACTAGGACTCTCTGATTTGTGCACACAAAGATCTGGTGATTCAACAATACATCCACTCCAACAATCATTCCTAGTAGTGGGCGCACAATGAGGTCACAGCTTGAGGTAATAACAGAAGCAGAGAATTTTTAAAGGTAAAACACATGGGGCACATTTTCACCTGGGTGATTATATCAGCATGAAGCATATTCAATTTAGAGCCATAAATGTCAACAGAGTAATGAAGTTAAAGGTCGACTATATCCAACTGGTGCATGTGTATCAATGCATGAGGAGCAGCTGGCCAAGTAGAATGATAAGCTCTTATACATGAGGCCAGGGTTCAATCCTTACTAAGATGATGGGGATTTTATTTCTGTCGCGGGCAAAAAAATAAACATCTTAACCTGAAGTTTGTGACATCTGCACAAGGCATAAAAGCCCTAAATTTTGAGTCTTAAGACCCCCTGGGGAACCACGATGGCATAGTGGCTAGATGCTCATGGCTGGCCCAAATATCTTGTGTTTGAATCTGCACTGAGTTTAAAAAAAAAAAAATTTTGTAAATGACTTTTGCTCTTATGATTGACCCAACCTAAAGTGGACAACATGTAACTTCCTGGGAAGTAAAGGTTGCCAGTGAGATGTCGACCACTGACCACATCTCCCAACAAGTGCCGGTTGGTTTATAAACAACTGAAGTGTATCATCATTTGTCACATGCACCACTGGCATGAGAAGTATCCTTTACTTTTTATGGATCCCCTTCTCCTTTCCATTGGGCCGCCCAGTTCTACACCACCTAAAAACAAGTGGTACATGCAGGTAATAACGACAGTTTAAAGACAGCGCAACATCAACAGACAGCCTAAAGACAGCACATGCATCAACAGTTTGTCTGCTATATGTCTTTTACCAACTCTCGTGAAAAGAAAGGTTTGGTCTTCACATTTGCCTAAAGCATAGGGGTATAGCTATTAAATAAGAGATTTAAAAAAAATTGTGATGGAAACGTCGGCACTGACTTGGTGGAAAACACACAATTAGAAGTTCTTTATTTTCCAGATAATACTTTTTCAGCTAAGTAAACAGCAATGATAGACAAATAAAAAACAAATGATTTAGCCACAAGAGCATCAAAAGCTGGACAACAAATAAGTTATGAAGAGACAAATATACTGAAGACACCATTAACAGATCAAGCAGATGTAACACTGTAGACAACAAGAGTTGAAGTAACAGATCAATTTACTTTTTTAGGTAGTAGTCTTGATAGTAAGGGAAAAACCAATCAGTTATGACATACACTGGCAAGGCAACAGCATATTTTAAAAGCTGAAACAAAATATGGAACCCAACATTATATTGTTTTAGAACCCAGTTCAGTATTTTCAATTCTAATGTTATTTCAGTTTTAACATATGCCAGTGAGAGTACCACTAAAGACACGGAATGAATGTTAAATGCCTTCAAAACAAATGCCTGAGGAAAATGACTAACACAAAATGGGATTGATTAAGAGAGGTGAAGAAATAATACGATTATCTAGGCAAAAAGTGTCAACAGTTATAAGAAAGAGAGAAGATGGCATTCTATAGGACACATTCAGAGAAAAGATGAACAGAAAATAACTAGGCACTGAATGAACAGAGAATCACTAGGCACTGAATTAACAGAGAATCATTAGGAACTGCATGAACAGAGAATCATTAGGAACTGAATGAACAGAGAATCACTATGCACTGAATGAACAGAGAATCATTAGGCACTGAATGAACAGAGAATCACTATGCACTGAATGAACAGAGAATCACTATGCACTGAATGAACAGAGAATCACTATGCACTGAATGAACAGAGAATCACTAGGCACTGAATGAACAGAGAATCACTAGGCACTGAATGAACAGAGAATCACTAGGCACTGAATGAAAAGACAATCACTAGGCACTGAATGAACAGAGAATCACTAGGCACTGAATTAACAGAGAATCACTAGGCACTGAATGAACAGAGAATCATTAGGCACTGAATGAACAGAGAATCATTAGGCACTGAATTAACAGAGAATAACTAGGCATTGAATGAACAGAGAATAACTAGGCACTGAATGAACAGAGAATCACTAGACTGAATGAACAGAGAATCACTAGGCACTGAATTAACAGAGAATCATTAGGAACTGAATAAACAGAGAATCATTAGGAACTGAATGAACAGAGAATCACTATGCACTGAATGAACAGAGAATCATTAGGCACTGAATGAACAGAGAATCACTATGCACTGAATGAACAGAGAATCACTATGCACTGAATGAACAGAGAATCACTATGCACTGAATGAACAGAGAATCACTAGGCACTGAATGAACAGAGAATCACTAGGCACTGAATGAAAAGACAATCACTAGGCACTGAATGAACAGAGAATCACTAGGCACTGAATTAACAGAGAATCACTAGGCACTGAATGAACAGAGAATCATTAGGCACTGAATGAACAGAGAATCATTAGGCACTGAATTAACAGAGAATAACTAGGCATTGAATGAACAGAGAATAACTAGGCACTGAATGAACAGAGAATCACTAGACTGAATGAACAGAGAATCACTAGGCACTGAATGAACAGAGAATCACTAGGCACTGAATGAACAGAGAATCACTAGGCACTGAATGAAAAGACAATCACTAAGCACTGAATGAACAGAGAATCACTAGGCACTGAATGAACAGAGAATCACTATGCACTGAATGAACAGAGAATCACTATGCACTGAATGAACAGAGAATCACTAAGCACTGAATGAACAGAGAATCACTATGCACTGAATGAACAGAGAATCACTATGCACTGAATGAACAGAGAATCACTATGCACTGAATGAACAGAGAATCACTAGGCACTGAATGAACAGAGAATCACTAGGCACTGAATGAAAAGACAATCACTAAGCACTGAATGAACAGAGAATCACTAGGCACTGAATGAACAGAGAATCACTAGGCACTGAATGAAAAGACAATCACTAGGCACTGAATGAACAGAGAATCACTAGGCACTGAATTAACAGAGAATCACTAGGCACTGAATGAACA